AGGAAAAAAAAGCCCTTCAGTGCTCATAACTGGGAAATGTACAGTAGAAGTTGCCAAATAATTTCACATTAATACTGCTCCCTATTTATGTTTCTAAGCCTCAGAGTCCATTTGTTTCTTCTGACACTAATATTTGACAAATTATGACATAATAAGTAAAACCCCTGTGCCGGCTGTGTGTTTCCCAGTTCACCAGTCACTTCTCTTCTCTACACTTAAAAAGACAAATCTGAAAAGCTGCCGCCTGAAGTGTGCAGCACAGGGATTTGTGGGACTAACAAGTGACACGCAGCTTTTTAATACAGACGCAGGGTGGCTTTGAAAATTGTGCTCTGCAAAAAGTGCTCCCGCTTTTCTAAATGTAAGAGGTTGTGTTTAGAGGTGTAAAATTGACAAGAGACAAAAATGCATGTGGAAAATGTTCCTCTTGAGCAGATTTTCATTTTTAATCTCATTTAGCAAGCAAATATCTTAGCAACCATGGAAATGTTTAGTACATCCCATTATGACATTGTGACATTAATAATTACATCGTTTTCTTACATTTGCATCGCCTTTCTCATACTAGATTCAAAACCTCTTGACAGTACGTACTGAAGTGCTGCACTTATTGTGCACCAGCAGGTCATGTGATGATGTGAGAATTTACTCAGCCAGTTGAGATCAGGGAGAAATTTAGTTAGGCTGGATCGCAGAAGCCTAAACCTGAACTTTGCTGGGATACTGGGATTTAAAACCCCTTCTCTCATAAGCAGTGCTGTGGGATTTAATGGACCATTACTGTATATAGCAAATGCTCGGGACTTCTCATTAACCTCTCAGCCAAAGCATAGTTTTCCCGATCTCCATATAGGAGCTTCCGCTTGGAAATTGTGGCCCAGAGGGAAGAGCGCGTACAAGCACAATCGATGGCAACCTGATTTCCTCTGAGGTTTTCCATCCCAGTATTAACCAGGTTCAGTTTTGCATTGCTGTTAGAACAATCTTGTGCACATCGCACATGACAGAGACATAACTGAAATATACAGTATATTGCCTGGGCAGGTTTTGATTTTTTTACAGTGCATTTACACTTGACACAGTCTCGTTTTCAGTTTTAGTCCAGGAGTTGGATAGCTAGTGTGAAGACCAGGGTTTAAGCATGATTCATGTCACATAATGTACAGAAGCAGCATAGGGGTCTCAAGTTAACTCCAGTGCATAAGCAGATGGTCACAAAATATAATGTAGGGAAGCCCAATTCAATAGTTTTCTTTGTAAGAATCCTAAGAAATATAAACTGTTGCCAACGAGACTCAATGAGGCCTTTTAGCTCCAGAAGTTCAGTCAGCTGCTGCAATTATAACCACTACAAAACAAAGGACACTTACTGTACATCTCGAGGTTTTCTTAACATTGAGAAAACGTATGCATACATAATGCAGAACACTGAAAATTCTGGATTTTTTCATGTAAGTCTCTTGTCTTTTTTAATGCTTCAGCTGTATGCTGATGCCGAATGTTCTGTGTAATTGTTAGGCTGAATTTGTTCCAGTCCATTTATTTTGGTGACATAGTGAGTTATCACCCTATGTGCAGAGGTACAATCCCTTACTGGAGCTGCTGAGTGAGCAATCCTACTTTGGGGAATATCTCTCGGAAGACAGCCCTACCAGTCCACCTGCTTCCCATACTGCCAAACACAGCACACAATCATTCCTCTGCTATCTCAACACTTCCCTGCCCTTATCTCTTTGGAAAAGGATTGTTTTTTCCTTTAAGAACTTAACCGCAGCAAAAGCAATTACCTAGGAAATGTCTTTACAACTTTTCATTGTGTTACAGATTAGATTAAATGCATGAAAATAGAATGTATATAGATATAGACATGTAGAAAGAGAGAAGTATTTGACACAAAGACAGATCTGTGGGGATTTGAAGAGGACAGGGCAGTCATACAATAAACATGTAAATACTAGGCTTAAGAAGGCTAGAAATGTGCAGTCATGAGCACTATTGTGCATTATCTACAGTGTGTACAATGAAAAATCTGCAAGAATTAAGCTATTGTTCACTCCACACAGTCATCACCTGCAATGTAGCAGAGATCAATCTACCACCCTTGGATCTGTCATATCCCCCCTCACCCAATGAGTTTTTGACATCTCTGAGATTACAGTGGTATGTGAATGTGCCTGCAGCCAGCTTATGCATTTTCAGACTTGTCAAGTGACAACACGTGCTGTGTTGTCTTTTGTGGCGTGAAATAGTGGTGATCTGAAAGGCTGAAAAGACAAATCTGGGTACCTTTTACACCTATGCCCTGTAGTACTGGCTGAAGAAAAATGAAGGATTAGAAAACGTTTCAGAGCAGAATGATTCTGCTTTGACCTGGCTAGTCACCATGCTTGAACCCTGCTGAGAATGTGGCAAGAGTGTGGTTTGTTCTTAACCAACCCCTGTGAAATCACGGTATACAAGTGTACTGACACTTTCTTGGGAAAACTGAGGGCCAGGAACAGGCACCAAACAAGGTTTGCTAATGTTGTGAAACAACAGGTGAAAACATTCCTGCCTTTACAACAAAGTATTATTGCCACACATACTT